AATAAATGTACGGCAAGTGGTGTTTACTTTTATGGTTCTAAGAAAACACAATGGCAATGTAATTAGAATCACCACCGAAAAACATGCTTTCCTAGGCGTCCGCACCCAAAGAGAGCCTTTCCAGCATTCTCAATAAGTCTAATTTCACCATCTGTTTTAATAACACCGAAAAACAAAAAATAGAGATAATTGTACTGACTGAAGAAGAAGTAATAACCAGTTTAATGATAATCACAGCCCAAGACATTCTGATTAGAATCAGCAGCAATAAAATGCGCTGTGACACTATAAGGCAATGTGGAATTGTCAAAAAAATTCATTCAGGGTCTATGGCTAAAGGGGAAGTCTATTTTACTGTATGGCTCGGAGCTAGATTACAGACAATGGAGAATGAAATGCTGCTTATGAAACCGAAACAAAAAAAAAAGAAGAAAATCAAAAGAGCTTAGAGCAGTGGTTCTTAACTGGTTGAAGGCGCCTATGAAACTAGTAGAGTTGGGTACCTCCAAAAAGGTTAAGAACTACTGCTTTAGATTGTAGTTTGTATAAGGTGCCAGCTTATTCGGTCTACTTTTGGTTGTGTCTTTAGAACAGGGGTCTCCAAACTACAGCCTGCAGGCCGGATGCGGCCCGCGAGGTCATTTTATCCGGCCCGCGACGATCTTTTTGTCCATTGAATAAATGTTTGTTGGAGGTGACTGAGGAGCTTTTGACAGAAAATTCAAAATAATTTTAAAATGTAGCTCTGGGTGCAAATACAATTACTCGCTGTGTTGCAGACATTGGCGAAAACATTGCGACTCAAATAGCGAAAAATTCAAGCAAGTTTCGCCATTTTTCAATTGCAATGGATGAGTCGCTGGACAGCTGTTCCACCACTCAACTGCTTGTGTTCATTAGAAGTGTGGATGAAGACATGAACATAACACAAGAGCTGGCTTCCCTACATATAAAGTATGACACTGCACTGAAGAGGATATCTAACGATAGATAGTTCAGAGACAAACACAAAATCTCAAGATTTACCATATTTCACATCAGTAAGATTGCTAATTTTGCGAGAAAATTCTGAGCAGAGTATCTAAGAAAAGAAATAGGTGACTTCCTGATAGTAAAGGCAAGTCACAGCCATTATTGTCTGATGAAGAGTGGGTATAGAAATTGGCCTCTGCTGCAGACATAACTATTCATTTAATTTTTTTCTGAACCTAAAACGGCAAGAGAGTGAAATCTAGTTTCTGATCTATACACCCACCTAAAGGCCTTTGTCATGTTTTTGGAACAAGTACAGGCTAACAACTCGACACACTTTCGGCAGTGCAAGGTCTTTACGGCTAAAGCAACCACTGAGTTCCCCACGTCATTTACATACGACCCTTAAGAGATACCTTAAAGAAACTCTGATCCCCGAACTGATATTTGATAGTTAATGCGGCCCTCGGGCTGAAAAGTTAGGAGACCCCTGCTTTAGAACAATTTTGAAAATAGTGTATTATAGTATTAAAATATCAGTTAGGTTGAACAAAGTGACAAAGCATCACCTGTTGTCAAGTAGTACCATTTTTTTCATCGTTTAGTAGGTCTAGTGGCCTTAGTTATATGAAAATTGCTATATTAGGACTTTTTATGAAACAAGCAATAAAAAAATGATCTATTCGGTACAATATACTTATGTTTTTAGCTCTTAAAATTTCGGCAAGAGTATCGTCTTCCGCCCACCCGTTCCAACCTTATGCTATTTTACTGATCGGATAGCAATTCAAAAATCTGTGATATTTATTTCTCTTTAATACAGTGATTCAGAGAAGATATAATGCGATCAAGTAAAAGTATCTGATCTCTAAAGTTGTAGTTGAGAGAATCTTACAAAGAACTAGGCGCATCATTTCTTAACGAAACTGGCTAGTGAAATTGTACATTACGCGTTAATACAATTGATTTCTTTTCAAAGTGTTAAAAGAGTTATCTACTCACCAATCCAGTACAAATACTTTGCGATTTTTGTTCGCGAAAAAGGAGCCCGCCCCCCCCCCCCCCCCCCCCCCCCCCCCCCCCCACAACCATCTTGGGACAAAGTTTGTAGAGCAAGTTTTAACAACGTAACTAGCTTTCTAACTTTTTAAAAAATGTTACACAATTTTACAATGCACTTTAGTACAATTAGTTTCTTTTCCAAGTTTGTTAACTTAAAATCCAGTGTAATTTTGCAATTTTAATTAGCCTTAAAGCACCCCCACACCATCTTGATAGAAGTTGATAACGTATTTTACTGTTAAACAATCGTACAATACGTCTTAATACAATTTTTTTTTTATAAGTGGTAACGTTTATCGACTCACCAATATAGTGTAAATTCTTCAGATTTTAGTCTAAAAAAAAGCGACCCCCCCTCTAGGAAAAGCTGGAAAGCAGTTTTGCCGGTCACTTTTTCTTAAGAGTATATGTTTTACAGTTAATAATCAAGGTAGAAATTAGTTGAACCAGTATGTAAAGGCGTGTAGCCATAACTTTTCATAACAGACTGTTTATAATTCAAAACTGCAGCATAAAATCAGCTTTTAAATTTTTTTCACCCCTTTTGGCACACCCCTAAGGTCGGCGCCTGGGACAGCCCCCCCCCCCCCCCCAGCTACTCTGTACTCAGTAAGGGAGTTTTAAATGGGAAATATATTGTCTACTAAAATATCAGAACAATAAAATACTTACTAGTAGTATTAAACTGTTCTTCTAGGCCCAGTGCTGGTCCACTAAATTCAAAAAATAAGGTTTGGGCTACAGGCATTTTAAATTTGCCATGTTTATTGAAGACATCAACTGCTTTATCATCCAAAAATTCTGAAATAAAACAAACAGTGCAGATATAATTAGGCCTATCAACATACATCAAACACTCAGCAGTTTTATGTTTATAATATAACAGACTTTATCATTCCATCACTCATTAGTATCAACACTCCATCTACAAGTGTAAAGGTGCACCTTTTTACAGGTAGAATCTTTCAGTGCAGACACCCAGGGTCACAGATTCAGCTATTGCAGGTGAAACATTAGGAAAATCTAAGCTGACATCCCTTGCAACAATTTACTGTCCTTTTTGATAGAGTAGCAACCTGCAGAGGTGATGGGCCAGAATTTGCATAAGAGGGGAGTACAGGTTGGCTAAGACAGCCAGAGACTCCCAAATTTGCTCTTACAAACAATATTGAATTTTTTATATTTTTTAACAATTATTGTTACTGTAAGTTAAGTGATCATTTGAATGTTTATATGACAAGCTATTTTGAATTTTTTTTACCAAAGGAAGGCCACAAAAGTATGAATCGTTCCCCATGAAAAACTTCAAAACACCCCGCCCCTCTAATGTTAATATCTACTATCATCATTTTCTGGTTGGAAACTGTTTACCTAAAGAATCACTCCATAAAATAATAGAAATGTTGTTTGTAACCATGGAGTAGTGATGTCCTGCAGTTGATCAATCAGTTGCAGAAAATACACTGATTCTTATCAAAATCGGCTAGGAAAAACTTTATTTTGACACATATTTATTGCTGATTTATCAAATAGCTAACGACAAAATGACCAGCTAGTAATAGGTTGAAGCCTATAGAGCAATAAAAGTTAGAGCAATTAAAGTAACTTACATTTAGACCTTTTAGTATGGCAGTGTGCACTGTTTGAAAATATGTTTTTAAAAGGTAAAAAGTATGTATTAAATGTGTGTTATTTGAAGTGAAAGTGACCTTTTTACAAGCTTTTATTTAACTCACTTCCTCTGTCTGTCGTCAGTCTGTCTAGATCGAAACGCCGGAGTGAAAATTCGGACACTTCTACTTGACCAATACGATTCACAGATGGCACGTGGGTCAAGACATGAAGACAATGCAATCTGATATTAAATTTGACTTATTGGATGCCTAATTAATTTTTTATGAATTAATTAAAATTTGGACTGAATTAGTAGGCATGTCTATCCAACCACACCACATGCGTCATCACTTTCAATAGCTGCGCCATCATTTTCAGTAGGCGAGCAATGGTTTTTAGTCATGTAACTCTATTGTAAATAAAACATGTTAAAGTACTGGAAAAAAAAATTCATAAAAAACGTTTTAATAACAAGCTTTTATGTAATAATGCACTAAAAAGTAGAAAATAAATTATAGACTACTATTCAAATAACTATACAGAAAAGCGTGGGTGTCTTCCTTAACATTAGTAAAGGTATCCAATAGATACTAAAGTGATGTCCTAAAGACCTGTAACTGGGGTTTTATGTCCTGTAATCCAGTACTGTTGTCTGCATCTTTGGTCTAATGTCCTGAGGTCATGCATTATAAGCCAGATACCTTATTCCTGTTGACCAGTTGCTGTTCCAAAACATTGCTCATAATACTCATATGTTGAATTGCTCATATCTCAAAGAAATGTTCTTCATTAAGAAATTATAAGAAATGTCATTAATCCATTTCAAACTCCTAATTGCTACTCAGTTGTTTTTGTTTCATGTTTTTAAATTGAAAATTTTACTTATAAATAATAAATGCTGTATAAACACAATAAAGGCAAATGTAAAGAAATAAACCAGTTTTTTAAACTAGGCAATATAATCTTTTGAAATCATTGAGCTGGGGCACTGTTAGTTTCACTTCAATTATTTTTTGGAGTTGATGAAATTATGTGCTGCAGGTTAGTAATTTTTTTAAACTAATTCTTTACAATTTTTTCTCTGGCATGTGGGAGCTTCAGTTTACTATTCATAATCATTCATAATTTTCACAAGGCGTTGATTAGAGCTCTTTTTAAAAAATGGGCCATAAAAGAGGGTGGTCAATAAGGGTCAGTTTTAAATGTCTCTCCCGGGTGTTAGGAGCCCCCCCCCCCCGGTTACAATCACCACTTGTGCGCATCTATGACCCCTAGCTGTTTAATCACTGAATGTTGTGCACCACCGTGTCACTATTGCCAAATTGCACCCTACTGGGGCGCAGGCGGACACACCTAATTCAATTTAGTGAATAATAATAATATCGCATCTTATCCATAGCCTATTGCACTGTTTAAATAAAAGACAATATTAGAGTAGAGTAGAATAAAACGAATCAAATAAAATGTTTAATAATTATGTCAGGCGAGGTAGTTTAAAAAGAAATTATACAGTTTTATAGTTTTTTTTTTATTTCTATGATCTCTTAAAATCAAAATTTTTAAATTTATTTTTGTGTGTTATTTAAAAGGATGGTTAAATTAGAGAATGTGGGAAAGGCTCTCTCTGAGAACAGACCTCAAAGAAAGCATAATTTGATAAAGTGTTTAAGATTAAGTATGTGTTTTTGAGTTTGTGCATTTGTGTATTGCGTTTACGTGTGAGTTTGTGTTTGCGTGTTGTGTTGGTTCTGTTCTCAAGTTGGTAAAAATATTCACAGTGGCGAAGCAAGGCATGCAGCTAGTATATATATATAGCTAATGACAAACCTAATTTCGCCATGGGAATTCCACTTTGAAGAATCTGTACCACAGTATCAATAGCTGATTGAATTGTTTTAAAATGACAAACTGCTGCTATAATCTACAAAAATAAAACATAAAAGTGTCATGGATTTTAAATTTTAATGTACAGAAAAATGTACAGAAAAAATAGAAAACGGTTGGCAATAATTTTTTTAATAAACCAAAATGTCATGACACATATAATTCATAGGTGTGTGTCTAAGGGTGAGGGGTATGACGGCCTCGGGCATAGACCTTAGGGGGACGCTTAAAGGGTAGGAAGAAGATTAAAGGGTCCATCTATCTGAATTACAAGGCTATAGTTGAAGTTAAGATTACACACACATGGCTTTACCTATTAATTCAACAGTTTTCTACATAAACTGTACAGCTGGGAAAAAACAACCATATAGGCCTAAATGTTATTGGACAGTGGTATCTATCTATATAAAAAGCAATGTATGTGTATGTCTGTTTGTTTCTTTGTCTGTTTGTCTTTTATGCATTACTACACCTTTCATCCAATAGACATGACACTTTGTTGTTGAGAATACTCCTGGGGAAGTTTCTGCCGGAAATTTTTTTTAAAAATATTCACAGGTGTGGCGCCCCGGCAGGGCGATATTTGATATTTAAATGAGCAAAGGGGCTGTACTCTGCGTCCTTGCGGTAATGTAATCGGGGCTCACGAGAGCACCCCATTAGATCCCTGACATTTAGGTGGCGAGTGATTAACAGTGATATAAGGGTGAGTGATTAACTTCATGAAGCTGGGCGATAGTGTAGGTAAACCCGTGCCCTGATAAATATGATCCAAGCACAAGCATTGTTTACATTTAAATAAGTCAGTTTTAGAAAACAAGGTCACACATCTAAGAATATAGGATTGGTAACACATTGATGAAACCCTCCTGATATATTTCTAGTAGTTATAAATATCCAAATGTAAAGTGAACAGATCAAGAACCACTTGGTTGATATGGATATAATCCACAATTCAATATTCTTTTAATCCACAACATAGCTTAAGATAAGAGCCAGCTCTTGTAATTTTTATAAATCAAGAAAAATATTGCAATTTCTAACAGCCTTTTTCAAGTTTAACATTTGTTAACCAGTTTATAATGATGCTGCACAAAAACGGTTGGGTATTTAATTAGTTTCCTAACACCACCCTCCCCCCAAATGCTATCAAATTTTCCAATGGTTAAAGCCACACATGCTATAGCTTCTGACAACAGCACAACCAGACAATAGCTACTGTTTTCACAGCATGTGGCTTTGTTTGGACACAATAAAAACCAACTAAACCATATAGGGCCAACCATATTATAGATAGTACAACATTTAAAAAACTGGACGATGATAGTTAGCTCCTGCCACTAACAAAACTCTATCACAAAGCAATTTATTTTCTCATGCTAGGTAATGATTGAATTTTTAAAAATTTCAAGACTAAAACAAATGTAAAGTGATCACGTTTACATCAGCACTTTCACTGTTAGAATAAAGTGTTTGTTCTGGGTACAAGAACAGGTGGCTACAACTGAAGGATAGTTTCCCATTTCATTTTTTAGAATAAAAATGTTTGTTACTTTTTATATCAATCTGGAGAATTTGTAGTCTAACCTTTTCTGGGATGCTATGAAGTTTAACTGTAGCTTTTGTAATAACTCCCAAGGTTCCTTCTGAGCCAACAAACAAATTAGTCAGATTGTACCCAGCTGAAGTTTTTCTGGATGAAAACAGAATAATAACATAAGAAGCTGTCATAGGGTTCCATAGAAAATAACAGGCATTCAGCTGTTGATTTGTTGTTTAAGTTATATGTTAAGTGGAATAGACCACATATTATAGTAAACTGGGGCAATAATTGCATTCCTAATTTTCCACACAATTAACAAAGCTCATTTATTCTAGAACAATTTTAATTGTCACAATTTAAAAATCAGTTTAAGGTCATTACTACTTACTTAGACCTTCTACCTTTCCCTGCAGTGTCAATGACCCTACCATCAGGCAAAACAACTTCTAGATTTAGAACATTTTCACGCATAGTTCCATAACGTATAGCATTAGAACCTGATGCACTTGTAGCACACATACCACAGACTGATGTATCAATTGCAGGATCTAAAATTAAGCATCAAAATAAAGTAATTTAAAAAAGTCCAAATAGTCTGTATTGCCACCTCTTTATTATAAGACTGGCAGCACAGTTGTCCTTGATCTATTACATCAAGAATTTTAATTTTGATGGTGCTAACAAGGTCAAACTCAAGAAATAGCAAATTTATTATATTCAACCCATTTGGCCAAAAGGCATTTAAAACTAAAACTTGTAATTTAAATACTGCGCTAAATTGTGAACGAAGCTGCAAAAATTAACATAACCAAAATCAACATAAAAAACTGAGTAATTATGCCAAATTTCATGAAATTATGTGCAGTGATATCAATAGGAGGATACAATAGAACTGACAGGGGTAATGTCCTAGGTCTATATACATCTGTGGCTCAGTTATTTCAAATGGTGCTTCCAAGCTGCATACAGTTACAGGTTAAAGTAGAATAATCTTGAATTAATTCAAAATTTTCTAACAAACTGAGTTTTCATAGCTCAAGTATAAAATCTTTCACCCACACCCTTGTTCTCATACAACATACAATTTATCAATCTTACCCAGAGGAAACCAAAGACCTAAATCCATGAGATAAGCATTCAATGCTACCCTCATCACACCAGGACGAACTGAACAGTCAAAGTCTTGTGCATGAACTGACACTATTTGATTCATTTTCATCAAGTCTAGACTGACACCTCCCTGTATGTAACAGTATAATACAAATCAGTTTAGAATAAAAAATTTTTACATACAGCTTAACTGAGAAGACAGTAACAAATGACATTGACAGTAACATAAGAGAATCACATTATTCATCGCAGTTTGAAAGAATTATGGTGTTTCCTTGATTCCATCTAAAAAAATATTCTAAAATGTGTTTTAAATGAGATTTTTTAATTAAAAAAACTAGTGAAGTGATTTAGAAAAAAGAAAAAAAAAACTTAACTTTGTTTTGAGTGCAAGCAGTATCTAAGACTTGAGAGTCTAACCTGTAATGCATTGACACCACCTTCCAAACCAGTTGCACTTCCAAATGGAACAACAGGCACTTTATTGTCGTTACACAACTTGAGAACTTTGCTTACATGTTCCACAGATTCAGCAAACACCACAACATCTGGCATGTGAACACTGTATAATGATTGAAATTAAAATTCTTAGTCTAATTTTTTTAGCGCAATTTCCATACTGGGATTGCGATTATTAACTCGTCATTTCTGGATGGATGGATGGATGGATGGATGTGTGTCCGCAGCTATAAGTCGTATCTCCTCCTCAACGAAGCAATATCGAGGACTAGTTCCAAAAGCAAATATATGTTAAGCAAGTTCCGAGGATGAACATAGGCCAAAAAAATTCCCGGAATTCCTTCCTAGATTTCCCGGAAAAGCCATAAAAACCTCGAACAAATGCAGTTTTTGCTCCATATCTCAGCAACCAGACCACTTAGTGATTTGAAACATTTACCAATCGATTCCTGCCATAATTTAAACCAATATTGGCGAAGAAAGTTTTCAAAAATATCCTTTCGTTCGGTCACAAAAAATTAATCAAGAACATTTAAACTGAGCATCGTGTAGGCCTAGGATGATATTTTAAACTGAGCATCGTGTAGGCCTACTCGTTAAAATAAAACTATTTCCGTTGATATTTTCTATTACCCTCTACACGTCCGCATATTTTTTAAAATCTCGTTAAGAAATATTTTTTCTATTTTGTTTTGAATTATTAAAACTACTTGTGTTGCATTATTTATTTGCTGAATATATGATTTATCTCGATTTAAAATTGTTATGGATAACATAAGGAAATTGCGCTTAAATTGTCACTAGACTTTTTATTAACTTGTTTTTGCATAGCTTTGGTTAACATTAAAAAAGTAAAATATGCTTCCTACTCATGATGAGATGCATCGTGTCCATGTTGTTCTCTAACAGCCTCAGCAGTTGAAACATTTGGGTTTCCAACAATATTCTTTAGTTTATCAACAAACTTTGTTGTTACTTTTGATTGATTTGCAAGCTGAAGAAGAAAAACATTTTTTTAAAACTAATAATAGGTAGATCTACTAAAATTTAATATTTAGTTTATTGAACCTATCCCATAGCAAAGTATATCCATTATGAGTAAATAAACACTGAAGTAAGTGGCTTAGATCTTTTCCTTTTTGTGCCAAAGATGCATGTCACCACCACAGAAAGCTCCCTTCACTTTTGTCAGTCACCTGAAAATGTCTTTGCCGTCCCTCATGACAGTCCTGTCTCTGCCAACTGCTTCACGCCACCCTTGGCTTTCCTTGCTTGTTTTTTCTAGTTGTGTCCAGTTTAGTTCCATTCCAGTAATGTCATCTGGATTCATTCTTAGGACTTGCCCCATCCATTGCCATCTTTTTTTATTATTCTAGAAACTGCTTCCATATCCATCTCTCCTAGTAGTCTATTATTGGATCATTGCAAGTGATCTGCTGGTGGCAGTTGTTGCTTTCCAGGATTCTTTGCCATACAGTAGGATGCTAAGGACATTACTTTTGAAAAGTCTACATTTTGTCTTGGAGATTTTCTTTCGATTACCATTGCCTATTTAGTTTTTCTTGCATGACTTGGACTTCAGGCTTGTAGTTATATTGTCTGCAAAATAAAATTGTCTGCTAGTTGTTTGTGTCCATTTGATGCCTCTCACTTTGCATATAGCTTTTTCTCTGAGTTTTATAGCATACATTTGTAGGTGGTTGTGAGACCTGGTCTCCCCTGTGAGCAGCACTATGGCAACTACATTTGTTTTAAAGACACTATGGATACGGTGGGAGCCAGAAACAGTGTGAGACCAGCTTTTTATTCTTTATTTATTACCACATCATTCATGCAATCACCATTAAACTTTGAAGCTAATGTTCCCGATTTTGAAAAATTTAATTATCAGAAGAGATGCGCCAGTGTGGTGGTGTGTGGTTGGAAACCCCATTGGACATCAACAAGTTGACGAGAACCTTTCCATCATTGTTGAAATAGATTTATTTTTTAAATTTATTTTGCCATCAAAGCAACAGTAAAAATAAAAAAATTAGCCTGAACTTTTTTTTCAAACCACAAGACAGAATTCTGTCATTTTTGCTTACATTTTCAATGATATAATGTAAACAAATTGTTTTTGGCTTTTTAAAAAAAAATGTGTTTAGTTACCAAAAATACTAAAAACTAAAATACTAAAAACATCAAATGCATCCAATCTTTAGTTAAATAAATTTAAAAAATCAGATTTTTATAACTATTTTTATTTTTAATAAAAATTAGAATCGTATATGATTTGAAAAAAATAATGAATGGGCCTATTGAATCATTTTGAGAATATTCTCAATTGCGTCCATTCCTCAATGGTTTTTGAGGAACCCTGAGTTTGTTGATTAGGCACACAGGGTATTGATGCATTAAAAATTATTTTAAAGAAGGTCTATTCATAGTAAACTATGCATTTGGGTTAGGCATTATGGTTAGGTTTAAGGCAAAATGGTTAGGATTGGGATTCAGGGTTAGTGATAGGGTTAGATCTTAAGACAGCAGTACTAAACAGTACATGATAGATATTGCATAGTGCCATTACAGAATCAGAGAAAAAATTGCTTCACTCTGATTGGTCAGTGTATAAGAAGCCTTCTGAATGCTAGTCTTAGTGAACTATGAATAGCCACAGCCTTTTTAAAACTGAATTACTACAGGTCCTAAATAAGTTTGGGCCAGTGTTCCCTCCAAGCAGCACTCTGCGCTGCTGTGCAGTAGTTTTGAACCTGCCTCGGTGATTTTGTAAAATACATATACCCTTGTGTAGACTTTTTGAACACCGCACACACAATATACATGCTGCACACTGACTTTTTACCCTTAGAGGGAATGCTAGTCTAGGCCTCAATTTTTGTGCTTTGTTATCTTATAATGGATATAATTTGCAATAAAATTTATTTTGATAAAAAATTTAGTGAGACAGGTTACTGCCAAACATTTTATATAGTTTTAGTAGACTTATTTATTTAAAGTAATAGATTAATATTTTATATTTTTATATTGCGTCAATTTAAAATTATTTTTTTTTACTTAAGAGATAAATAAGATAAATAAACATTTAATAATACTATAATCTAGATTATTAAATACTAACTGGAACAGCAGTAATAAAAGTGCGAGCAATTATACAGTTCTTTGAGATTTGCTGCATACACTTGGTCATCTTGTTTGTAAACATAATGAGCTAGTTATGAATTTATTTCCAGGTAAATTTCTGTAGATTCAAAACTGAAAAAAAAAACATGTTAACTGATGATAATGTTGTAAATGAATGTATACAATAGCATGATATCAAAGCTGGAATTTAGTAGAAAGAGTAATAGTCTAGGCCCAACTCTAGGTCTTCACTAGCTAAGCTAAATCAAGATGCTAAATACTAAATAGTCTAGTAAAAACTTAGTAAGTAAATTGTTACCTTTCTCAACTCATTGTAGATCTACTTAAAACACAACAGTGATGTCAGTCTTTCTTCTTCTTCGTTCTTAATTTTTAGTGTTGGAAGAGATCGAGCCTTATCTGCCAGAGGTTTGAACTCGAGACTTTTTTCGAATTTATCAACCATGAGCTTTGTCGACTCGACCATGCTTCCATCACAATTAAGGATTACGTGTCAACTGGTTATGTGCCATTGAGGCCATTGACTCCGATTTCAGCCTGCTTTTCTTTTTGGATTTGCTTCCATAGCCTTTGTCCAACCAAGAACAAACTACAAGGCAGCAGTTGTTTGAAAGTGACACAAATGAACAGGATTTTTTTCTTTAACACGTAAAAAAAGTATTTGACGTGTTTTAAACACCAGTGTGACTGATGCAATAAGCTATAAATAGCGTTACTAATGGTCTATTATTAGATGCTCGATCTCAATTTCTGACTGGCTTGTCTAATAGTAGATGCTTATTGCATCATTCGGGCATTACCAACTCGACCACGCTGACCCATAGTGATGTCAGTAAACACCATCAAGTTCACTTCAACACTTTATTAAATTATGTAAACACACAGCTTAGGAGCCGTCCATAAATGACGTAACACTCGAAGGGGGGAGGTGGGGGGGTCTGTAATTAAATTTTGTGACGGTGTGTGATGAGGGGGAGGGGGGGGGGGGTTCAGATGGTGCAACATCACACTTTTGCATTATAAAAAAGCAATGTTTAAAACTAATTTAAGACGTTATTTCGCATTTTAGAAAACTGTTTTTTATAAATTGCAATAGGAATTGATTAAAATACTCTATATTGACAGTTGAGACAAGATTTTGGAAAAATATCGATGTTTTAAGAAAAATTCAACTGCAATTTTGAGAAGGGTGTTGTAGGCTGAGGTGTGACGTCATTTTAGGTGTGGGGGTCTGGCTTTTTGTGACGATGTGTGATGGAGGGGAGGGGGGGAGGTAAAAATCGTCAAAAAGCGTGACGTCAATTAGGGATGACCCCCTTACACACTCCATCACTACACAGAGACTCTACATTCAAGGGATATCAATAAGATTTAATAAGATATATAGCCATATAGAAATCTAGATCTAGAAACTATAAAGATCTTATTCTAAATAGATCTAGCTGACTAGCTAGATCTAGATAGTAGATACTACTCTACTAGAGATTACAGCAGAGGTAAGTGTAGTGTAGTTAGGTCGTGGAGGCTAACTAAATTTTTACCAGAACTAGAATCAAGATGTAGACAGTGCCGGCGCTAGGTTTTTTAGCGCCCCTAGCCCCCCCCCCCCCCCCCCCCAACTTTCTTAAATTTGCACCACCCCCTCAAACTTTCGATTTCCACACCCCCCCCCCCTCAAACTTTCAATTTGTTTTCCATCCCATTTTGGCGCCCCCCTACGTCCAGCGCCCAAGGCGACCGCCTAGTTCGCCTTATTATTAGGTAGCGCCGGCCCTGGATCTAGATCTAGATCATCTAGAATCTAGATTTCTAGATTAGAATTAGAATAGATCCTGAATCTTGATTCTTCTAGAAATCTAGATCTAGATCTAGATTAGATCTAGAAGAAGGCTTAGATTTCTATGGTACTCCTTATTACTCATTAAACTTAAACCTTAGTCTGGTGAGTATAGATTTTAGATCTAGATCTAGAATCTAGAATCTAGAGTCTACCTTGATTCAGATTAAACGGATAGATCTAACTTTATTTGCTATTCCGGAAGTCCGGTCACCAAAATAGGAAGTGGTTAGGCCTTGAAACGTCGTTGACGCATAAAGCAAATAAAGATATCGATACTGATGATCTTTGCAATGAGCTTCAAGTAGCAGCTTCCTAAGCATAATAATTTCACATCAGATTTGCTTCTCTATATAGTACAACTAAAATTGGAAGATTATAATACCAAATGTTGTTGTTTTCTTTGAGTTCTCTGTGTGGTTTGTTGTCTCATGCTGGATATATTTTGTAATGATAAAGTTTAACTGGTTTAATTTAAATTTAGTGAGACAGTTTTCTAATATATATATATATATATATATATATATATATATATATATATATATATATATATATATATATATATATATATATATCTTCGGGGGGGGGGGACGGACACTGACGGTGGCAAATGGATTGGCGTGGTCGAGTCGTTAAAGCTCATGGCTGCAAAACCGTAAATATTCGAGTTTGAACCCTCGGGCAGATGAGGCTCGTTAGCTGAGGACAGCCACTCTTCTAGGAGAGACAACTCCAAAGTCAAACAACTGCTGCCTTGGGTGCCCTGTCAAAACGGCCCGGGACAAATCGGCCCAGTCAAAACGGCCCCGTTAATATGACCCCGTCAAATTGACCCACGGGCCCACGACAAAACGACCCAGTCAAAATAGCCCCGTCAAAAGGGCCCCAACTTATTGGCTCCTGTCAAAAGGGCTCCCGTTATATTGACTCGCGACATATAGGCTCCCGACAAATGAGCTCCCGACAATTGGACTCTCGACATATTGGCTCCCGACAAATAGGCTCAGGACATACTGGCTCCCGACAAAGTGGCTCACGACATATTGGCTCCCGACAAATGGGCTCCCGAAATATTGGCTACCGACAAAACGACTCCCGACATATTGGCTCCAGACAAATGAATGGTATGACTACATAAAAGTAACCATTTTGTCCTACCTCCACTACTACTATAACATCTTTTTAATGCCTGAGTGAAACAAATCAAGCCCTTAACAGCTAAAATCTATCAATTCTAAAATTTTGATAATGTTTACTTTACAAAAGATCTGTTGCATAAAAGCGAGCACAGAAGTGACATACATGATGTTTACAGGATAACATTTTGTTTTGATAACCTACAAGCACACTGGAGGTAGGAAGGTACAGCTTTGACCCTTCTCCCCACACACTGAGTTGGAACAGCCTAAAACCGACTCAATTATGGAAGTCATAGATAGATGACCTTTAAATTAAAACATAATATCTTCTATATATATAATTCTCTTCTTGGAGACGTTAGAAAACAAACTGTAAGCGCGCCTTGCGGTCCTCTCTCTTCCTCTCTAGGAAGTCAGGTGAGCTGTGGTTCACGCTAAATGTTTACATTCGTAGAGCCGGGTTTAGTGACCGCTATTAGGGACAGATAATTTAGTTTGAAACGATTTTGAACTTAGGGGAGGTAGCTAAGAGGAGGTTGCTTTCACGGGGGGGGGGGGGGTAGGGGTTGGGGGAAAGGAGGTGGGGTGGGTTATCGTCCTTAACGACTTACTGATAGTGTTTTAAAGCAGTGGTACTGTCGAATTTACAAATTATGAATTACTGAAAAGTAGAATATAAAACAACTAAATAGCGGCGTATGATACGGCGCGGGTCGGCTCGTATTTTATAATAGACTAGCGTACCCGCCCCCGCGCGTTGCCGCGGGAATAGAAGAAAGTCCGACGAAATATATAAAAAGGGTTTCATCCATGCGTTACCAATCCTATATTCTTAGGCGCGTGACCTTGTTTTCTAAAATGAGTTATTTAAATGTAAACAATGCCTGCGCTTTGATCATAAAAATATGGACACGGGTTTACCTACACTACTGCATGAAAACCGCGAGTGTACATTAATCACTCCCCGAAATAATGAGGCAGAACACACTTCGGTGACCGCCATTTGTGTCAGGGAAGTAGAGGGGCGCTCTCAGGAGCCCCCTCCCCCCGATTACACTACCGCATTGGCGCAGCGTACCACCCCTGGCTCCTTAAAACTAACAGGCGCCATCGTGTCAAATAGCATCCTGTTAATTATGATGCAGATTGCGTCATTCGCTAAAGTGACACAAATGAACAGGATTTTTTTCTTTAACACGTAAAAAAATTATTTGACGTCTTTTAAACTTCAATGTGACTGGTGCAATATGCTAGCGTTACTAATGATCTATTGTTAGATGCTCGATCACAATTTCTGATTGGATTGTCTAATAATAGATGCTTATTGCATCATTCGCAGTGACGAAACTCTACAGTAGGCTCCTCATATTCAAAACGGTTTTTTTTTTCATCTTTCGCAAGGGGACGATACTGTATAGAAGGATTTCCTCGCGTGACAAAGTTATTTTTAGAATCCTGTTGTAGTTTTACCGCTGAATATAGAAGTAGCCTACCCCTTACTCGCTATGCAGGACGCTCGATTAACGGATGCCAAGTGCCAACATGGTCGCTCTAAAACTATGGGCGCCAAACCGTGTATTGACGAAAGTTGTACACTATATGGCGCCGACCATAAGAAACATTAGTTTTCTTTTTCGCAGGAATATTCTCGGGAGTATTCTCATTTACTCCCTAAAGTTTCATGGCACTCGGATGAACCGCTCCCCACCCCCCTCCCCTGGGGGCGCCGCCCTTGCAATATTAAAAAAATATTTGTTTTGCAGAATCCTACCATTGAGTGATCTAATCATCTCCCCAAAGTTTCATGGTACACGGATGAACGGTGTGAAACCGAAATAGACTTTTATTTTTATAAACCGTATATAGAGAAAAGTCGCAGCCTCCCGTGGCGCCGCCCTTGCGAAATTAAAAAATGATTTTTTTAACAGAACTCTTCCCAGAATTGTTCTAAAAAAAGTAGAAGTGTCCGAATTTTCGCTCCTGCGTTTCGATCTAGACAGACTGACGAGGAAGTGAGTTAAATAAAAGCTTGTAAAAAGAAAAGCAAGCTGAAATCGAAGTCAATGGCCTCATAACCAGTTGACAGGTATACTTAATTGTGTTGGAGGGGATCCCATCCAACACTAAAATTAAGAAGACCCCCCCCCCCCGGTGTGGACGTCCACAAACATTCAGTACACCATTCCAAACTTACAACCAATATTCTATTTAAGAAAATAATAGGCATATTAGTTATTTTAATCAGAGCAAATATTACATTTTTTAATTCAATAACTGATTAGGGGTCATCCTTAAATGACGTCACGAATTTTTATGACGATTTTTACCTTTGCTTCCATCCATTGCAGCCCTTTGCTCCCCAGGGGCCACAAAGGAACGACGATGATGATGATGCCATGCATTACACATCGTCACCCCCCCCCCCATAAATTGATGTCACACCTTGGCTGACTTTCCCCTCCCCCTCAAAATTGCAGTTTATTTATAAAAGATCTATTTCTTTCTTAAATATTGACTGAGCTCAGTAACATAGAGATATTAATACATTTCTACCTAAATTTCAACAATTCAACTTAGATCTATATCTTTACTTTTTTTAAATACACGATCTGAACACCCTGCCCCCCTTCACCACAAAATTATGTACCCTAACGTGTTATGCAGGTCTAAAGTCAAGATCTATGTGTTATTTTCCGGAGACATATTTGTAATGACCCATATACATATAAGAAGAAATTAAAAATGTGCCATCCAAAAGAGGATATAAACTGTATTTATTCCTCGATATCCCATGAGAGAATATTATGGTTTTGTTTATTTCCCTCTATCATTGACCACAATAAAGCACTACCTTGATATTTATTTACTAGAACCTGTTTTTTAGAGCACTATGTGATTGTGACGACAAATCCTTGCTCAAATATATCAAGGGCATCTGATAGAAGGATTTGATACTATTTGAATTGTACAAAAGAGTAGTTTACATATAAACATTTGCATTTCTTTTTTTTTCTATGCCTGGTGTCTAAAAGGCTTTGCAGCTATTAAGCAACGATGAAACACATAAAAATTTAAAAAATCAGTTTGTAAAGTTTTTTTAATTGCATTAAGACAGCAGTTCGTAACAAACTTTATAGCATTGATCAGACAACACTACATTTGCTTTTAACACAAGATATAAAAATGTAATGCTTTCATTTCAAGTGGGTTTAATATTCAATTTCAAAACGAAAAAAAATCTGATTAAATTATAAAATGTACTAATCTGCAGGAGAAAAAACAACCCAGAGACTGATGAGGTAGTACATATCAAATGTAACCTTCTTTTACAACAGTCTACTTACAGTACAAACATTTCCATCTATTAATATATAGTTGTGTATGAGTATGCATAATTTTACTGAGCATAGTTCTATAGCTGCTAGTGAGTAAACAATGAGCAACATAATAACAATGTTTTTATTAATAATAAAATAAATAATACTAGTAGATCACAATGAAATAACACATGTACTGTAAATTCAGTAAATTGTAAATATCCTGACAGCAAATTTTAGAGTGAATAAATTGTGGTTCTTATTTATTACTCTGGAAATAGTAGCACTTTTAAAAGGAAAAAAAATGATACTTTCAAACATTGCAGGTTTTGGGAAGCCATGGGATGTTTAAAGTAAATTAAAGTAGTTTAGTTAAGGCATTGTCTATTTCCATCTTGATAAATAAAATGATATTGTAAATTAACACTTGTGCTTAAAATATACCTCAGACATCATCAATTATTTACTCTAATAAACTTCTGGGAATCATTTTTTTTTTAAAATACACCAGCCAAAGCATAAACTAAAGCAAAAATATAAAATACATAAAGTATTTTAAGTATTATATGCCTATTTACAACTGGACCAAAATGTGAGATACTGAGATCTCATTCTTTACCACATACAGTTCTTGCCTAGTGTCCTGTCATTTTAAATAATAAGTAAAAACTTTTAAAAGGACGAAATTTGTGTAATAATTGTAACTGAATGTTTCATAGTTATATTGTACATATTAGTAACATATAAAGCAAGTCAAAACACACAGTAATAGCTAAAGACCCAAAAGAGATAAACCAGATAACATTAGTAAAGCAAAAGTTTTGTGAAAATCTAAGTTAAAAAATATTAGAAGTAGAAGCAGTCTACATAATTTAATATTTTTGGTTCAAAAAAGCATCAACCATGCTGTTTCTGATTAGTGCTTTCGCATTGATTTTTTAAATGACTCTACTACACCTCAAAGTGGCCAAAAAGGGTAGGCAAGTGTAGTAGCATAACAAAACACATATGATAATAAAATACATTCTGAATGAGACCGCAGTATTTGTACTCTTGGTTTACTTGAGTGGCTGGTATTACTACAAATGTCTTGTAAGGCCTTAGTTATGATGCAATTACAGATTCTAGTTAAATACATATTACCTAGAATAAAATAACAAAGATATCACACAATTCAACAACTTAAATAGTTTAAACTGTCACAAACATTTCAGCAGTAATGTCTTAGAAGAATATTTTCCCAGGATTCATGATACCATTGGGGTCAAAACACTTCTTGACCTCTTTTAACACTTGTATTCCAGTCTCTCCAAATTCTTTAGTTAGGAGTTTGCGTTTACCCATGCCAATGCCATGTTCACCTGTGCAGGTACCGTCCTTCTCCATGGCTAGACTGGAATGGTAAAAATAAAACCTGTCACAAATAAGTTACATTAATACACCATGGCATGAAAAATGTCAATAAGCTTTCCTTAAGATGATCTAAAAAATATCCTTGTGATTTTACTAAATATATTCTAAAAATTTAGGAACTATATATTTATTTTGTGATTTTGATTCCAAAATAAAAAGAATAAGAAAATGTTATACTGTGTCTTTAAGTCATTTTCATGGTAATCAAGTAGGCCTACTTAACATTAGTATTTTTAAAATTAAAATTCTATTAGACAACTTTAATATCCTGTGGGTAATGGTCTCTCTGTGATGAATATTAAATTAAAACAGGGATTCTATTTTTAATAACTTCTGACAAAAACTTCAACTATAGAAATGAAGATTCCAAACATCGCATACTTAGTAATGGAACGCAGTCTTAAATATGTGCTTTGATATGGATTATTAACATTATCTATGAAAACATTATGGGCCTAAATGGATGAATTTTAATGAAGCGGGATCTTCCCTTATGCTTAAAACATAAATTTGACATTGGTAAATTTGACGGATTTTCTTGTAATAAATCCCAAACTAGTCCGGGGTATGTACTACGCTGGTCTTTTACGTCCTTTATCCAGCATTCTTTCATTAAAAAAAAAAGACAGACTGAGTTCAGCAGCACAACCATGTAGAAAGTCCAGATATTCTGGAACAGCCTTCTGATTTTACTAGATTATACTAGATATTTCTGAACATTTATGCTTATTTTAGTATCTTGATTCCAGAATAAAAATAACCAAGAAAATGATGGGTGTCAAAGTATGTTACTTTAAATTTAACTAAACAGTAACCAAGTCCAAGTAATGACACTAGCTTTGTGTTTTTGAAAAGATAAGGACAAAGATGACTCGTGTTTTTAGATAATCATAAATATGTGGAGCATTTAAAAAATACAGTAATCTACCTAAATATTTTAAATAAACCGGGGAGTGATCTCCCCTAAACTTTGTAGAATATTCTTATATAACACTACAGGTATGGCGACTTGGGATAAAGACATGATTTTTAAGTACTTAAACTTTTAAAAATAGAATAGAATCTCCTAGAAAAAAGAATTGCGCATCAAGTGAATGCCAATCAATATTGTGTACAATAGTGCGGAATATTATAATTACTCTATAAATTCACATGTTTTTTAAGAAATCGGAAATAGCGTAAATTACTACTTCCAGTCAACGGAAATTGCTCAAAAATTTGAAAGAAGGCAGAGAATTAGAACTTTTACTTACAAGTGAAATTTCATTTATTTATTTTGAAACAGTACTCAAGTTATAGGCTTTTGAAAATTTGAAAGTAGAAAAAGTACCGGTAACCGGAAATTGCTGAAAAGTTGATACAGAACTACAAATTTGATATAATACTTATATATGAAATTTCATCAACCTCAAGGGTACTCAAGTTATCATGTTCACTTTAATACTTCCTCTATACTTTGTGTAAGAGAAAGGAAAAAAATTGAAATGCTGTGCATAAATTTGGTATTGGTTAACTTTACTAATTAGCTTGTCAAAATTCCCTAACCAATTCTAAACCAATTTTAAACCTGCAGTCTACATTATAAATTTTAAAATGTCTAATCCAGTGAAGGTGGTTATCTTATGTCATGATTTAATTAGGATATAAAAAATGTAAAGTAATGAACAACTAATATGATTCATAGTTGCTTTTGCTAAGTTATTATTGGCATTTAACCATTAACTTCCCATTGCACCTGCCACCCTTTAGATTCCACAGCACTCAACATTACCATCTCACCATACTAGTGATAGTGCATGATTGCTAACCACAATGTCCTTAGTTCAAACCTTTGGGGACAGCAACCCAACCAGGAGAGAACTCAAAATCAAACTGCTGCTTCCTTGCAGACTGTTCTTGGTTAAACTAAGACTATAGAAGCACACCCAGAAAGAAAAGCAGACTGAGGTTTAAATTAAAAGGGAGTATAACATGTTGAAATACTTAATTATGTTGGAGGAAATTGCCTTCAATAATAGAGTTAAGAATAAAGAATGGTTTTGATAAGAAGCAAAAGAAAACCCCATTGAATTTGTTTAAAAAGAAATCTACAAAAAAACATTTTTGGGTGAGCTTTAAGGAAATGTTAATTACAATAATCTTGGGAAAGTGACAATAATGTAAGAATTTTCAATGCCTTTTGAGTAATAAGTTAATTAACTTAAAAAGAGCGACAATAAAAATGAACACCATTTGAATTGAATTTAGATTTCTTTAAAACCTTAAAGATTATGAACATTTAAATAAGTCTAATAGTTACTTACAGTTATTCTACTTTAAAAATAATGAGATGCACAAACATTTATTAGTTTCATAAACATAAACAGTGATGTTAAGGCTAAGAACAAACTGAATAAATTATTTTAAAATGAGCAAAAAAATTATACCAAAATGTGATCAACTATTTTAGTTTACTGATAACAATATTTTTATCAGTTTGAAATAAAAATGTTGCTGGAAAATGCTGGTTATGGGAGACCATTGTATACATACATGTGTCACCATAAATGACAGCATGCCATGATAAACAGTCCCCCCCCCCCCTCCAACCAGTTACAAAAATTAATCTATATCATTAATTTTAATAAATAGCATAGTCGTACCCCCACAACTGCATGATTTAAGAATGACCACCAATAATTAATCTTTCACTGGTCCCACACTAGCTCAGAGTTAGCATAAAGTGGTGTGTGTTAACAGAGCAGGATATAGATGGATTCAAAATTTCTTTATGCTAGCACTTTGGGGAAACTGCAGATAACAAAGGAACAACCAATGCTATGGTTATTTATTATGACTAACACATTCTACTGCTCTAGAGACCAAAATTTGTAGAACAGGGATTGGAAAAGCATCAAGCATTGGTTTCTATTTAAAACATAAGCTCATTAGCACTAATAACTGACACAAATAAAATTAATCTATTATGAATCATTTTTCTTTACAAAGTAAAGAAAACAGTCCAATTACTCACTGTGCAATCTGACTAGCTAAAGCCATGTAAAAATCATTTTGGACTTTGTCCGTGGTCATTAAAAAAGCCACATGAAAATTTCCATCACCAACATGACCAAGAACATGAGCTGGCAAGAAAACAGACTTTAAATGAGAAAAAGATAGACGATTTAACACCGTGGTTCACTTTGAAAATAGCAGATCTTCACACCTTTGAATTTTGATGTAAAAAAACAAAGCATGTTAGAAAGCAAGCAATATCATGTACAAAGAGCTTTCAGTTGATATCTTACTTTTCTTTTTTAAAAATGGCATCAACTATTTTATTTAACTTTAATTGATTATGCCAAGTTAATCTGAAAACTCTTTTAAAATTGCAACTCAAATGTATTGGGTTTTTTGATTTACACAAAAAGCATCTAGCCAACAATACAAAAACCAAATCTTGTAAAGTAACGGTTATATAGTTATATAAGAAAATGGATTTTCTTTCTCCCCTTCCCTGTCACAATCTACTGACTGAGGCTCTGGCTCTAATATAATCTCTAGCAGTTATATAAACCTGATACATTTGAGCTGATGCAGAACTCAACAAAAAAAACATGCAAGCAAGTAGTTTAGAGCAACAGTAGACAGGCAATCTTCAAGTACTCACTAAGCCATTTTAAAATGAAGATCTTGAACTTTTAAAAATGTCTCTTTGTCTGCATGGTTAACAGGGAAAAATACATGGAAATTTCCATCTCCTACATGCCCTACTATTGGTCCTGAAAAAATGTCCATAAATTTAAAAAATATATAGGCAGATGTCTAATAATGTAATAATCATAATTCAAAATTTTCAAATCAAGAATTAAAATATACAAATTTAAAAAAAAAAAAATTCAAAAATTTCTTTTAAAAAAAATTATATTTATATATTGCTTTATAACCCTACCATAATCTATGCAAGGCAATATAAACAGCTAGTTCAATATAAAATGAATGCAGTAAATTAAAAACATAGTTATAATAAAAAAGAACAGAGTTTGTGTAGGTTGTGTAATGAGCTACAGATTTAAAAGTTAAGTCTTCTAAAACTAATTCTTTAAACAACCTTGCTCTACTTAGGATGACACTTGTGATTTTAAACTTAGTTTTTGTAGAAGAAGACTTAATAATTAAAAGCTATATTTGCTTACCTTCAACTTGATACTTATTTCAAGTTTTAAAATAAATCATTGCCTAGACATGGCTAACTAAAAAAAATTGTTTTGTAACTGCTAATCGCTTTATAATGCTGTGCTGTTGTAACACAGTTACCCAATTTTTAAAAATGTATCTGCTGTATTTTGTCCCTTTTGTAGTCATGGCGGACAAGACAGGTGGGGGTGTTGTGAGCTGTTTTCTCATTTAAGTTTTTTTTTGGTCAGGAATTTATTTCATGATTGAAATTAGTTTACAATGAAGAGACGTTCATTTTCTATACACTGTTTTGGTGTCTTAAAGAAAGGATTTTACATACAATGAAACATGTAATTTTTACTTCTGCATGGTTATATCCAGCAGATTGAATGAATGCACTGCTTTTGACAAACACAATGCATTTATTGTTATTAATCTGATCAGTATTGTAATATTTGAAAGGCAAAACTAAATAAAGTATATATTTTTTAAATGATCACAAAACATAGTGAAAACAAATATGACAATGAGGCATGGTTGTTTTTGGGGAACATCATTACCTAGGAGAAGTAAAAAAGTAGGTCAAGCAACAACATAGCTTTTACTAATAATGTTGTTTTACAAAAAATAGCAAAATTAGAAAATAAAAATGAAATGATCACTTGTTGAACTGTACCTAATACATTTGCTTCATCAATCCACTGTTTTGTCTTGACAATAACTTCAGGTAAGTGAGATATAGGAACACACACATCAGTTGAGTAAGGCTGAAGAAAAGTTAAATTTTTTATTTTTAAAAAAATCATGCTGCATTTTAATTACATACAGTTTTATAAATTGTAATTTTTATTTTTTATGTTGTTTTAAGAAAACTTAGCTTGTAGGAATTTGTCATAGGGGAGGTTTTTAAAAAAATTTCATAATTAAATTTTTAAAATTTGTCACCTTACTCCCGGGGACCAAGGCTGTACAAGAATAAATCATTTCATGTCTTGCTTTCCATAATCGTTTTCTTTCATCTTCATCTGTGGCAATTTGCAGTCCTGATCCTTCATTCATAGTTATCACTTCCTCTAAAAACAATAAAATAATGAGTTTACTTTAATGAGAAATATATAAGTTATTATAACATTGTCAAAGAAAATATCTGATTTAACTCTATAAAACTTAAAGTGACTTTTTTTTGTTTCAGCTAGAAGAGTAAAATCATCCAGTTGATCTTCCATCTGTGTTCAAGTGTTCTAGTTCTAATACAACAATATAGACATTAGCCAACACTTCTGCAGCTGTACTTTAAATTTTGCACATTTGGTTGCTCTTGTAATTAAGGTCACAAAAAATAATGTTAAAGGGTACTGACCAACCATACTAAAATACCTACTAATAGTATTAAACTGATCTTCAAGTCCTAGTGCTGGCCCATGAAATTCAAGGAATAATGACTGTGCCACAGGCATATTAAATTTGCTGTGTTTATTGAAAGCCTCTATTGCTTTATCATCCAAAAATTCTGAAATAAAGGGAAACAGTGTAGATTAAAAACAGAAGCAATAAAATCCAAAGCCCTCACTCAGTTGCCACTGATTCTCTCAGCTCCAGACCAACAAGAACATTACAATTTGGCACTCTCATTCCTTATGGCAGCCATGGACAACTAAATAACAAACCTAATTTTGCCATGGGTATTCCACTTTGAAGAATTTGTACTACAGTATCAACAGCTGCTTGGACTGTTTTAAAATGACAAACTGCAGCTATAGTCTGGAAAAATAAACGTTCATAAAATATAATTGATTTTAAATTTTCAGAAAATATTATCATATACAGGCAAGTATCAAACATTTATTAAGAAATGGATGTGTGCCATTTTTTTGTAATACGTGTATTTATAAAAAGCAAACAAATGCAAGACCAAATTAAACTGAATTTTTAATGTAGCCTGTTAACATTAGTCAGCTTTTATCTATGCCACACATTACATGTAAAAACATAGATGTTCATAATGTGGACAGTTTTCAAACATTTGTTTACCAAACAAGATGCTATCTGAGCTCAAACTCTTTTGAAGTATAACAGATTGTATTGCATGTATCATATGGAGCCTGACCTTTTCTGGGATGCCATACAGTCGAACTGTAGCTTTTGTAATAACTCCCAAGGTTCCTTCTGAGCCAACAAACAAATTAGTCAGATTGTACCCAGCTGAAGTTTTTCTGGATGAAAACAGAATAATAACATAAGAAGCTGTCATAGGGTTCCATAGAAAATAACAGGCATTCAGCTGTTGATTTGTTGTTTATGTAGCGGAAACTTCTGTGAATAGACCACAATTACATTCCTAATATGCCACACAATTAACAAAGGTCATTTGTTCTTAAACAATTTTAACTACCACAGTTTCAAAAATAGTTTAAGGTCATTATTACTTACTTAGTCCTTCTATCTTTCCCTGCAGTGTCAATGACCCTACCATCAGGCAAAACAACTTCTAGATTTAGAACATTTTCACGCATAGTTCCATAACGTACAGCATTAGTACCCGATGCACTTGTAGCACACATACCACAGACTGATGCATCTGCTCCAGGATCTACAACAAAAACGATGTATATTTTGTATACAAATGGATTTTTAACTGAAATTATTCAAAATAAAAATATTAATATTGTTTTGCAATATTTGTATTCCTACTCAACCCTTCCTACTTCATAATTAACTTTTTAAAAAATTGCTTTACATTTTTAACATTTATACTAAGTTTGTTGTTCCATGTTTAGATGTTCTTGGTTGAACTTACTAAGGCTATGGAAGCACATAAATAAAGAGAAGCCAGTTGAAGTCATAGTCAACAGAGCCATATGGCGCATAACAAAGTGACAACTAATAGTTAATATATAGAAAAAACCTCTGATATTATTTAATCTACTTGCTGCATGTGATGAGGAAAGTGATTCTAGATCGTAACAATTTAAACCTACCAATGGTACAGTATGTTAAACCTTACAATGGTGCAGTACTTCAATATGTTAAACCTACTTTTACTAATGGTATAGACAAATAGTTGGGAAAGAAAATATTTACACAAATCGCACTGATGTAAAGTGTTAAAATCCTATGTTGTTCTGACATGTCCACACCAAATATTTTATTTATTTTCAAAAGTCAACTCTTTTGGTTTGAAAATAACAACGACAAAAAATATTTCAGTTCTTTTAACTTTCTCATATACGAAGTATGGAGTAATTATTGTAACGTAATTGCCCAAAATATCTAAATCGCGATTTTTACATATCTTTTTACACCAAAGTTGGAAACCAAAAACATAGTAGAAAGTTTAGGGAAGATCACTCCTGCTTTATTTTAACTTTTTTTCGCCTTTTGATTTTATTTTTAATTAGTTTGGAAAAATTAGGCTTGAATATTACTTACTTTAGAGCAATTGTACCAAATAATGGCTTTTCGGTCATTTATTTTAGAAAATATTGGCTTTTATAAATGGCCTTTTTGGAGACAGCATAATAATCTATTTTTGGTATGTTTTATGTTTATTTGAAAATTGCTTTTTGTTATACACTTGGTGTAACAAATCTTAAAATACAAAATTCTACCCAGAGAAATATGCTAGATTCTCTAATATGACAATATTTTAACAATGGTACCTATTGGGAACCAAAGGCCTGTGTCTCTAAGATAAGCATTCAGTGCTATTCTCATCACACCAGGTCGAACTGTACAGTCAAAGTCTTCTGCATGAACTGACACTATTTGATTCATTTTCATCAAGTCTAGACTGACACCTCCCTGTAGGTAACAGTATAAAACAAATCAGTTTAGAATAAAACAAGTTAATAAAAAGTCTAGTGACAATTTAAGCGCAATTTCCTTAATTAATTTTTTGTGACCGAACAAAAGGATATTTTTGAAAACTTTCTTCGGCAATATTGTTCTAAATTATGGCAGGAATCGATTGGTAAATGTTTCAAGTCGTCTGGTTTCAAGTGGTCTGGTTGCAGAGATATGGGCCAAAAACTGCATTTTTTCGAGGTTTTTTGGCTTTTCCGGGAAATCCAGGAAGGAATTCCGGGAATTTTTTTGGCCCACAATCATCCTCGGAACTTGCTCAACATATTTGCTTTTGGAACTAGTCCTCGATATTGCTTCGTTGAGGAGGAGATACGACTTAAAGCTGCGGACACACATCCATCAATCACCAGAAATGACGAGTTAATAATCGCAATCGTCAGTATGGAAATTGCGCTAAAATTTTCACATACAGCTTCATTGACAGTAACATAAGAGAATCACATTATACACAGCAGTTTGAAAGAATTATGGTGTTTCCTTGATTCCATCTAAAAAAATATTCTAAAATGTGTTTTAAATGAGATTTAAAAAAACAACAGCCATTTAAGTGATTTAGAAAAAAGAAAAAAACAACTTAAATTTGTTTTAAGTGCAAGCAGTATGTAAGACTTGAGAGTCTAACCTGTAATGCATTGACACCACCTTCCAAACCAGTTCCACTTCCAAAAGGAACAACAGGCACTTTATTGTCGTTACACAACTTGAGAACTTTGCTTACATGTTCCACAGATTCAGCAAACACCACAACATCTGGCATGTGAACACTGTATAATGATTGAAATTAAAATTCTTAGTGTAATTTATTTTTGCATAGCGTTGGTTAACATTAAAAAAGTAAAATATGCTTCCTACTCATGATGAGATTCATCGTGTCCATGTTGCTCTCTAACAGCCTCAGCAGTTGAAACATTTGGGTTTCCAACAATATTCTTTAGTTTATCAACTAACTTTGTTGTTACTTTTGATTGATTTGTAATCTGCAATGACACAATATATTTCAGTAAATGTGCATATGATAAATGAAAAACACTTTGTGTTGAAAAGTTGAGAGAATGCAAAATACATTTTAATTAATTAATTAATTATACATTAATATAGTAAACTGACAAATTTTATAACAGGCCTAACATTGTTTTGAAAATGCTATAATCTAATATTTCTAATTAATTATTTATGGCATAGGACTTACTGCTGTAACAAAACTGTGTGCTGTAACATAGTTTTTTGAGACTTGCTTTAAGCAATTGCTTATGCTATTAGAAAACATTTTGAATTTTTTTCCTGGTTAGCTTCAGTAGATTCAAAACTGCTAACAGACAGCTAGTCTATAAATGTGGCAAAATCTGTAAAGATAAGTCAAGTTGGAGTTTGGCCTTGTACCACTGTACTACTTTAACTTACAGTCAAGTATTTGGCCTAATTATTTGTAATCATGGCTCCATTTGTCATGGATGACAGTTGACCTACTCTCTTCTCTAAGACAAGGTGTTGCATTTTATAGGCCTATTAGATCTAAATAAATGAAGGCACTTGATGCTAAAAATAAAAATGTTATATTTTTTCAGTGTTTTCATTTTATTACTTAACTGACTTCACTTTTTTAATCTGCAATAAATTATGGAGTTTTATTTAAAACTCTGGAATGACTAAGGCCTAGTTGTATGACCCAACATTAACTTCAGCCTATTGTATATCATTTTACAGTTACCAGTCTAGTAACTAGAATACAATATGGTAATCTTTATTCATTCGACATTGTTTTGTGAGCTCCAAAGAATAAAATGTCATGGAAATTATAGGGAATGACGAAATGATTTTATACTTCCAATCTGAGTACTCTTGATTCAACAGTAACATCATAACCCCTTTGATCTAAATAGCTAAATTATATCGAGTAATATAATTATAGGGCCTAATTATTATTAGGTTATAGACTTTATAGATAGGGGCCTATAATTTATTAGGCAGTAGGCCTATAAACTACACTTGCTTAACTAACTACATTCTACAACTAATACAAAAACTATAAGCTAGGCCCTATTAGATCTATATGTTTACAAAAAGAACAGGTAATAATTGATAATTATGATCTCGTCTCTGTATAAATACTATAATCAGTGGTGTAGATGGGGGGGGGGGTTTAACCCCCCCATGGACCCCTCTGTAAAAAAAATTTTTACTGTCATAATACCATTGTTACTTATTTTAATCTATTTCTGAATCAGTGTATATGTATAATTGTATATGTATGTTTAGAACAGTCATCTAAAATCTGACACTATGTTCATTCTAAGTTGGTTATCCCCCCCCCCCCACCTAAAATGGGACAGGCCGTAATTGTGTTAATTGTGTAGAGTGACATTAATGTCACAGCTAGGTATACGCTGGTTAGGATAATTGACCTAAAGTGATTGGACGGTGGTGAATGAAGTTGACCCCCCCCCCCCCCCCCCCCAAACTAATCACATAATATAACTATATATGACTATCTCAATCCACTTTAGAAGCCAATAACTTTTTTTTCTTTCTTTACAGTTACCACTGGTTCAGTAGGTGTCTTTCATAGCCAGGCAGGCCCCAGCATGGCAAACTCAGACTAACAAACTCAGACTAACTGGATTACTATATCATATATCGTCTGTCTTCCGTCTCTTCTGTCACAGGGCTTATCTTCCACCCTACACGAACCTAGAGTCCAGTATCTAGCTCAATCTTAGTCACACAGGTCAAATTAATGCCTACTGACAGGTAGAGGAATGCATTCTGTATATTTTCTGCCTCACGTATTCTCACTGTTCTCTGATTTAAAGTTGTTTTTCTTTAAACTATAATATTCTTTAATGAGATTTGAAAATGAAATAATATAACTATTACTATTTGTGCATGGAACTGGAGAGCTCAAGCCCTGCACCCCTGATGTAGACTATTATCTATATATATAATTCTCTTCTGGGAGCCGTTAGAAATCAAGCTGCAAGCACCTCCTTGCAGTCCCCTCTCTTTCTCTCTATCACTATCACTACCACCCCACCCCCACATTGTCTGGTGAGCTGTTGTCACGCTAAATGTTTACAAAGCTAAATGTTTACAAATCGTAGAGCCGTAGAGACGGGTTTCTATTAGGGGCAGATAATTTAGTTCGATTTTAAACTTACAGGAGGTAACTAAGAAATAACTAAGAGGAGGCTGCTTTCACGGGGGGGGGGGGGGGGGGGGGGGGGTCGGGGTTAGGGGAAAGGGGGGGTTA